CCATTCCAATATTATAGCCATTATTCTTAAGGGTTGGGAATAGGTGCACCCTTGGCCATTTGCTGAGAGCTCAGATTTAGTCAGCCTAAAATCTGGTTTTCCTATTCTAATGAACTGTGAACTGTCTCCTGAACTGTGATGCCTACAGTCAAAATTGCTTCTACCTCACACTTTGTTTATTCTACATAAACGCGCCATTGGATGTATTTCGTTCCACCCTCATATTTTCTATCATAATTGGCAGTATATGTGACATCTACATTTTTCTAGTAGTCTGAGATTTTTAAAGTTATCCACACATTATGGGTCTTACCAAGTTCAGGGAGGTGTGTAGGTCAAGAATCATCAAAAAAAAATTGGATATTTATAAACAATATGGCCGCCACATGCCAATTTAGCCCCCCTGGGTATAGCTTATTTCACATAAGTGGCTACAGATCAGGACTGCTTTAGTCAATTTTCCTGAAACTTTACGTGCCTATACCGCATATTATTCCTGTCTAAGTTGGACCACCAAGCCCACCAAGTTTGATACTGATAGTTCAATAAGGGGCGCAATAAAAACCAAAAAATCTGTTTCTCAGCAACCGCTTGGCCAACTGAGCTAAAAACGTTGCACGCTGCATCTGGGCTACTTGCTAGGGACAACTCATTCATCGGACAATAAGAATTCAAGAGGCCTTTGGAAGGCTTAGCACTGGCCAATCATCACAAAAATAGTATGATGTGTTCACATGGACAATCTCTAATAGCCTATAAAGTTTGACTTCAATTGGCCATGAGGTGGTGCTATAAAACAAACAAATATAGGTCCTAGGAATTTTATCTTAGATTAAAATAAATAATTGTTCACACTGAGTGACATTTTTTCAAATACAAGTCTTTTAAAATTCTTTAAATATTTTCTTTGATTGATCAATGTTTGAAAAATGAGCTTTTCAAACTAGTCTGTGAATTTTAATCAATTTTTTTTTAAATCTTGGTCTTAAAACAGTCCATAGAGTCTGTAGTTAAATAATTATAAAAAAAATCTTTACTTTATTTCAAATAATGGCCATGAGACATTTCTCTGACTTAGAGGCTATAGATTCTTTAGTTTTTAATCTGATTGTGATAAAACTTAGAAAAAAATGTACATTACCCTTTTTTTTGAGGAAGCATGCAAAGTTTCATTGAAATTGATCACCATTAGCCCCTACTACACTTAATCTAGTGCATAATTATTAAAGGTCATTATATCCTTCTATGATTGAAATAAAGAAAAGATAATGGTTTCAAATTACATCTCATTAACTTAACTACTATGATTTTTCTGTAAATCATCAGAGTTTAAAAAGTGATTTTTCTATACTCCTCAATGGATTTGTACTGCATCATCTCAAATTTGGTCTCAAAACAACCATCAAAGTCTCAAGGTCAATGATTATTTAAAAAAATCTTGCCTTGCAGTATTATTGCGAGTTGTAAATCAATCAATCAATAAATCAAATGTTTTATGTACATTGACAATAATCCGCTAGGGAAACGTTTGACATTTGGCTTGAATCGGCTTAAACTGGCTCTTACAATGCTCAATATATATAATGCCAACAATTTAAAATATAATTATTCCTGTCTAGATTATAACACAGACATGACGGTTGTTTCAAATTATACATCCTAATGAGCCTTAACACTTTACAAATAAATGGATGTTGTTTACAGGAAATTCTGTCATTTCATTTGAGCAAATTTGGTTGACCATGTCAGATGTTATGTTTAGAGGGAGCCAAATCATTAACTGCAAATGTCAATGTTGACTGAATGGAATATACAATCAGTGGAAAGCTTTACTGTATTTATCCTTTGGCAAAGAGCAAATGTTATGCCTTCCACCAAGTCAGCTAACTGTGCAAATACAAGTCTTAAAATAACTTAAAATAACATCTTCTTACTACTTCCTGAGTTTAATCGATTTACATTTTTCTAAAAACAATCTGTCGAAGAGAAATAGTTCTTAAAAACATCATGACTTTTAAGTACAGTGTATCTGCAAGATTTGAATATATTGGTGTGACCTGGCTTATTCTGCCTTAAAATCAAATTCAGTGTGGTAGCAAAGTACTTAAATTCAAGTCAAATGAACCAGAGAAGTTTCCTTTACTGTGCAAGCACTATCATCACTATCAAGCACTCCCTATCATCAGGAGATCGCGAGTTCGATCCCTGGTGATGCTACACAATTGGCTTCACTCTCTTTGGGTGGGTAGGATGCACAGGCATCTGTTACCTGACGTAACAAAACTGCCGGTTGGCGATTTCCTCTGAGCGCGTTCAGCTGTCCAATGACGTTGCGTGAACGGCAGTTTGAAAAGATGCGGTTGCTGGCTTTGCAGGTCTCAGAGGAAGCCTGTGCTAGCCTTTGCCCTCCTAGCTCTGGTGGTATCGTGTGATTGGGGTCCCTGGTGATTGTTGTGCCCAGGAACTTGCAGGAGTCTACTGCAATCACAGTTCTGTCCAGAATGGTGAGTGCTGGCAGTGTTGGAGCGCTTCTCCTGAAGTCCACTGTCATCTTCACTGTTTTCACTGTATTCAGCACTAGGTTGTTGTGGCTGCTCCAAAGGACCACCTGATCAACCACCCGTCTGTAAGCAGACTCGTCACCATCTCAGATGAGACCAATGACTGTAGTATCATCTGCAAACTTCAAGATTTTGACTGAGGGGTCTGTGGAGGTACAGTCAGTGTACAGTGAGAAGAGCAAAGGGGAGAGAACACAACCCTGCGGAGCACCTGTACTGATGATCTGGGTTTTTGAGGTGAACTTCACCCAACCTCGTCTGCTGCCAGTAGGAAGTTGGTGATCCACTGGCAGATGGGGGTTGGCATGCTGAGTTGGAGCGGTTTGTTTTGTAGCTGCCCTGGGATGATTGTATCAAAGGCCCAGAATTCTTGCACAAGTTCCTGGGTATTCAAGCTGTTGGAGAATAAGACAGAGTCCCATGTTCACTGCATCATCCACTGACCTGTTGGCCCGGTATGCAAACTGCAGGAGGTCTAGCAGAGGATCCGTGATGTTCTTCAGATGGGTGAGCACCAATCTCTCAAAGGATTTCATGACTACAGAGGTCAGAGCAACAGGTCTGTAGACGTTCAATCCTGTGATGGTTGCTTTCGTGGTAACTGGTATTATGGTGGAGCGTTTGAAGCAGGAAGGTACGGCACACAGCTCCAGTGATTTGTTGTAGATCTTTGTGAATACAGGTGCGAGCTGGTCGGTGCAGGCCCTCAGACAGGAGAGTGATACCCTATCTGGTCCTGGTGCTTTCCTCACTTTTTATTTCCTGAAGAGTCGATGCACATCCTTCTCACAGATCTTCAGGGCAGGCTGAATGACAGGAGGGTGTGAATCTGTGCTGAATGGGTATGTGGAGCTGGGTTTTTCAAACCTGCAGTAAAAGGTGTTAAGCTTATCAGCCAGCCAGCAAGCACTCATTGTCTGCGGGGGGGGGGATGATTGTTTTACGAAAACCATACACTGGACCGCTTAGAAAAGCACACCATTGGAGTATGGGACCTATGATTCTGCAAAGTTTTGTGGTTCTAGCTTGAAAACTGTGGGATGGGAAACAATTTATTTTTTGAGCGGAGAATAATAATAATAAGAAGATTATGAAGAACAGTAAGTTGGCTTTTTTTAAACCAACTTAATTATCTCCAGAGAAAAGCATTGACACTAGAATGGAACACACTGTAGCAGCCACACATGATCCTAAGACAGGGGTTGGCAACATGCAGCTCTTTTACTGCCCTGTTGTGGCTCCACGGCAGAATTAGATTTTTAGGTTACAATAAAATAGTCCTCCTTTGACGAAGCAAGATGGCAGCGCACATGGAACATTGCGGTTCGACAGTCTCCTTTATGGTGCTTTCTATATGTGTTTCTGTTTATATGTCTGTTAATACATGCTACGTTTAGTCGCGCAAATCCCACCTACAGCTGCCAAGTTCTTCTAAGCATAGGACCACAGCAAAAACAGGCCATTACAAGAAAATTTCTGCATTTGCAGAACATCTCCGTGCATTGTTTTCGACTCTGGCAGGCGGTGAAGACGGAGAAGACACAGGAAGCAAAAGCGTGGATGCTGGTCCAGTGCAGTTGCTAAACTAAAGAAACAACCACACAAACCGGCGTTACCCAGCATTTTTCTCACCAACGCCAGACCATCACCGAACTGGACAAACTGAACCGACTGAACCTACTGATTTCCACAAACAAACTTATAAGGGACTGCTGCATTCTGTTAATAACTGAAACGTGGCTACACTCACTTATCCCAGTGAAAAGCCATAGAGCTAGCAGGCCGCACAGCACACCGCTGGGACAGAAACAAAGACTCCGGTAAGAGCAAAGGAGGGGGGCTTTGCATTTACGTACATAATAACAGCTGGTGTAATAATAGTACTAATACTACAATCATAGACAGACACTGTTCTTCTGATCTGGTGTACATAACCGTTAAATGCAGACCCTTTTACCTTCCACGCGAGTTCTCTGTCGTCATAGTTCGGCTGTCTATATTCCAACGGATGCTAATGCATAGCATTAAGCTCCCTGCTCAGTTCTATGGATTCACAACAGCGTATGTATCCTGAAGCAGCCCATATCATCGCTGGAGATTTTTATCACACAGATTTAAAGGCAGTTCCAAAATTTTCTAAAATTTCACCAACTCATCAAATGTGTTACAAGGGGAAAAATACTCTGGACAAAGTCTATTCAAACATCAAGAATGGATTTATGACAACATTACATTACATTACATACAACATTACTCCCTCAACTAGGCCAGTCTGATCACTACTAATTATTCCTTACACCAGTTCACCTATAGGTTAGACAGGTCGACAGAAGATGCCATTGCCACCGCTCTTCATACAGCACTGACCCACCTTGAACAACAGGGGAGCTTTGTTAGGATGCTTTTCATAGACTTTAGTTTTGCCTTTAATATACTCACCCCAGGCAGACTGGTCACTAAGCTCACTGACATAGCACTTTCCCAACCCATCAGCAACTGGATCAAGGACTGGACTGGCTCTGTGGTGTTCAGAGAAAAAAAAAACTCACCCTAAACTCTTCAAAAACTAAAGAACTCATTGTAGACTTCAGAAAGAACTCTACAAAACCTAACCCATTATACATCAACGGGGACTGTGTGGAAAGAGTACATGATTTCAGATGCCTGGGCACACACATTGCTGAAGATCTCTCCTGGACCACCAACACCACGGCATAGGTTAAAAAGGCACAGCAGCGACTCCGTTTTCTAAGAATCCTCAGGAAAAACAACCTGCAAGAGAAGCTTCTGGTGTCTTACTACCACTGCTCCATTGAAAGCGTGCTTACATATTGTATCTTTACATGGTACACCAGCAGCTCAGCAGTGGACAGGAGAGTTCTTCAGGTCCCACTGCCTCAGCAGGGCAGCTAACTTAATACTAAAAGACTCATGTCATCCTGGTCATCATCAAAATGGACATAAAATGTTGTGGTTCCCGAGGTGGTTTGATTTTTGTTCAGAGGACAAAATGACTCTTCTTAACATTTGGGTTGTCGACCTCTGGCCTAAGGTCACCATTGCCAATGCCAAGCATTGACTAGAGGGGCATAAAATATAATTAAATATATATTGAAGGCTAAATATAATTATTAAAAGAATGTCAGTTTATTTACTAAAGTTGATCATGTTTCTGAAGTAAAATAATAGCCTTCATTCTTTTAATTCACATACAATAACTTTGTGTTCAATTTTCAAGCCTGAATAAACAGAAGAATAAATAAGCAGCTTGACTTAAAATGTATTGTTACTTTGCAAGGCATTCTTTGTTTCATTCCTGTTTTATTTTTTCATTTAGAAATGCAATCTGTGTTGCTACTCTAGCTAATGCAAATTAAGACACTTTCTATGCTTGATTAAAAATGCTGGTCTACTTAAGAAATTTAACTAAACTGAGTGCAACTACTCAAACTCATCCCAACAGTGTTGGATGGAGCTCAATTACTACAGATGTGAGCTCCATCCAACACTGTTGGGATGAGTTTGAGTAATCCAGATCTAATCATCCAACATCAGTACCTGACTTCACTAATACTTACTTACCAAGACAAAGTAAGGATACGGATAATACAACCCCATTCTCAAAAAAGTTGGGATGCTGTGCAAATGTAAATAAAAACAAAATTCAATGATGTGCAAATCATTTAAAGCCTATATTTCATTGAAAATAGTACAAAGACAACAAACCAAATGTTGAAAATTGTATTGTTTTTTGAAAAATATATGTGTGATGTGGTGAGTTATACACCCCATTACCAGCCCTGATACATTCTAGAGACTGGTAGTATAACCATCAGGAGTATGGACATTTAAGTGATATAAAATGTTACTTACCTGTATTCCTTTGATGTGCATCCTTTAGGGGATGTTGGCGAGAGCTGGGGCTCCTCTTATCCTAGTTGGACGGATCCACCGAAGTTGGGAGGGGGGGTCCACTCTCGAGCGGGTCCTGTAAGAAACAGTTAGAGGGATCTTGATCTTTATATGTAATATTTGTATATATGGCATGGGTTGCAACCATTATGTGTACAGTATGCCATTCAGAAAAATCGCTCACCTGTACTTACTACTATCCACCCATGTAGCTCGAGTCAGCATGTGTTAGACGTGTGTGTGGAGTTCCAGCCTTGCGGGTGCTCAAATTTATTTGTAAATAGTGTATATATTATTGCATTTTCTTTCTGTTTTGTTCAGTGTTTTGTTTGTTTGTTTATGTCCTGTTGTTTAATAAATCACTTCTTGCACCTATTTGGAGTCATCACGTTACTAAGCGCCGGCCCACCCACACAGACCTGAACCACGAAGCCCACATAAAACCGAAATCCTCCAACTGGGGGGTATCACCATCTAACAATATGTCCATTTTAAATTGGATTCCAACAACACATTTCAAAAAAGTTGGGACGGGGGCATGTTTACGACTGTGTTTCATCACCTCTTCTTTTAACAACACTCTGTTAATGTTCCCGGAACTGAGGAGACCAACTGCTGCAGTTTTGAAAGTGAAATTTTCCCATTTTTGATTACATTGGATTTGGATACATTGGACTGCTCAACAGTTTGGGGTCTGCTTTGTTTTTTTTTTTTACATTTTATAATATGCCAAATGTTATCATTGGCGACAGGTCTGAACTGCAGGCAGGTCAGTTTAGCACCCGGACTCTTTTAATATGGAGCAATGCTGTTGTAATACATACAGAATGTGGTTTCACATCGTATTGCTGAAATAAACAAGGCCTTCCCTGAAAAAGATGGCAGCATATGTTGCCAAAACATGTCATTCAGCATTAATGGTGCCTTCACAGATGTGCACGTCACCCATGCCATGTGCACTAATGCACCCCTTTACCATCATGAATACTGGCTTTTGGACTGTGCACTGATAACAAGCTGAGTCGTCTATAGGCTGGAGGACACAGTGTCCATGATTTCCAAAAAGAAATTCAAATGTTGATTTGTCGGACCACAGGACACTTTTCCAATTCCTCTCAGTCCAGTTTAAATGAGCTCGGGCCCAGAGAAGGTGGCAGCGCTCCTGGATCCTGTTTTATATATGGTTTCTTCTTTGTGTTTTAGAGTTTTAATTAGTATTTGTAGATGCAGTGCCGAGCTGTTTTCATAGAGTGTTTTTCAGAAGTGTTTCTCAGCCCATTACTACAGAATCATGCCTGTTTTTAATGCAGTACCACCTGAGGGGCCACAGATCACAGCCAGCAGTTTTTTGGCCTTGTCCCTTGTATACAGAGATTTCTCCAGATTCTCTGAATCATTTAATGTCATTATGTACTGTAGATGATATGTTGCGAAATGTTATTCTTGAATTGTTGGGTAAACCCCTCCACATCTTTACTTCTGAAAGACTCAGACCTCTGGGATGCTCATTTTATACCCAATCATGTTACTGACCTGTTGCCAATCAACCACCAGGTGCTTTTTCAGCATTACACAACTTTACCAGCCTTTTGTTGCCCCCATTCCAACTTTTTTGGAATGTGTTGCTGGCATCAAATTCAAAGTGGCATATATTTTTCAAAAAATAATAAAATGTCTCAGTTTTAACATTTATGTTGTCTTTGAAGCACGTTCAATGAAATATAGGGTTTAAATGATTTGCACATTATTGCATTTTGTTTTTATTTACACTTTGCCCAGCGTCCCAACTTTTTTGGAAATGGCGTCGTAAGATTAGGATAATGGGTTAGCTATTTGAAGGTTTGTGAGCCATTACCATCTGTTACAAACACAGAAGTTCTACCTAACCAAACAGGTTTGACTAGCATGTAATTATCATATGTCGTTGAAAAAACAAAAAACACTAAAGAGCAAACAATTAAACACCAAGAATGGCAGAGAAATATACAAACTTTTATTAAAAATTAAGGCTTCACAAATGAAAGCGCTAACCTGAGTTGCCTGGGGCCGCAACTAAAAAAATGTACAGGAAAAATCAGACCTTTTTTATACTGCTCTGGAGGGGTACCCACCCCTCATTATCTCATCTCACCTGATCTGTCTTACAGTCACAAGCAACTCTGACTTCACTGAGTTCTATTATAACTGTAACAATTTTGTACTTTTTGCATACGCATTTTTTCAGTCAGCCTCTGCCTTCTCTGACAAAGACCTTTGTTTTTCTTCTAAAAGTGCAATGTCATCCTTCAATAATAATCACCAGCCTTTTTCATCTATTTCATCTGACAATACCATTATCTATAAGTTTAAAAAAAAACTTGGCTATGCTCTTGTTTACATCATATCACATCAATTAACATTTCCCACTTTTCTATTTTTTCATTGTTCAAAAGAGTTCAAAATAAGTTAGAATCTATTAAGTATCTGTTTTAATGACTAAACAGGTTATTCCTAACTCTGACTGACTAAGCAAGGAAGTGTAAAAATATATATTTTGTAGATGAAATGGGTAAAAAATAAAGTTATGGTCCAAACTAAGTCTCTCTCTCTCGGTGTGGGTGTGTGTGTGTGTGAGTGAATGTGTATGTCTCTGTGTTTGCCCTGCAATGGCCTGGTAACCTGTCCAGGGTGTTTCCTGCCTTCCACCCAGTGACCACTGGGATAGGCTCCAGCACCCCCTGTGAGCCACAGGGGATAAGCAGCTTAGAAAATGGATGGAGCTGTGGTCATTGTACTCTCAACACACCTGATTCAAATATACTAATTAACAAGCCCGTCCTTGTGTAGATATGTTAGAGTAGGGAAAACACTAAACTGTGCAGGCCTGGATACTGCAGGAGAAGATCCTGAGCTCACAATGAGCTCACACTCAGCATTTAATGTTTAAAAGCTCAAAATAAAAAGAAAAAGCTATGTTATTTTTTTATAAATATAATTCCATGTTGTTAATGTTCTGTTATCTATTAAAATACAACCCCCATTCCAAAAATTGGGTTGGGACAGTATGTGAAATGCAAATAAAACAAAAAGTAATTTATAAATCTACTTTTGATTAATTTGAATAAAAACTGTACAAAGACAAGCTATGTAATATTTTATGTTATCAACTTCGTTACTTTTGTAAATATATGTTCATTCTAAATTTATGCTTGTAACATGTTTTAAATAAGTTGGAACAGGAGCAATTTAAGACTAAAAACACAAACAGAAAACAGTGCAAGATAAAACATCAAATATCATTTTTTGGTACTGTTTTCAATTTTTAATACAGGCCAAACAATTTACTAATCACTGCTGTTTTAAGGACATTTCACATATGGTCCCAGCTTTTTTGGAATTGAGTTTGTAGGATATCAGGTCAGGTAAATTAATCTTTGTCATTCCAGCCATATACAGGTGTGCAGCTGGATGAATCAGCTTTCTCCAAAGCCTTGGAGCAACAGGTAACAGCACAGTAAACAAACAGTGCATAACAAGGCAAAAAAAGGTCTTTCACATGCAGCAGCATATTAAATAAAGGGTGTAAAGAGGGTGAATAAAATAAGCGACCATAGCCCATGTTCATAATGGGTATAATTAACATGAAATACTGTACTCACACAAAAATTCAAAACTCTTTGATACCACAATTTCAGTTCACAGTGCCAAGGACTTACTGGTTTAACAAGTGTTCAGGGACTGACTCCAGATGCATTTGAAGGTTTTCTAATGGGATCTGAAGGTGTCCTACAGAAAACTAGCACTCTCTAATGGTAACCATTAAGCTAATTCCCATGAGAAAGCAAAACCATCAGGTTTTAATGCTAATGGTTCTAATCATCTCTCTTCATCAGTGAAGAGACAGATGCAGAAAACATAACATCTGGTATCTTAAATTTCAAAAGCATAGCTTTGTTTAGAGTCTATTAAAATATTCTTAAAAAGAGAGAAAATTCCACCTTTCTGCCAGAGGCCATCTCAGAAGATGGTTAGTGTGTCAGTGTAAGAGGTATCCTGTATGTGGAGTTGTAATACATTGGCAGCCCACTAGGGGGCATCAGCACACTTTGGGGAAATAGCATAGAAAATTTTTAGATTTGCAGCTTTAAAACTGCATTGAGAAACGTAAAATCCTGCCACTATTACAAGTAAATAAATTTCTCCTACAGGTGTCAAAATGTTTCGTCTGTGTACGATCATGCTTGGCCGTCTGCATACGGAAATATTTTTGTGCCTGCATACGTTATTTCCGTCTGTACAAGTATTTCTTTTTACGTCTGTACAGTGATGATATTGCCGTCTGTAGGTGAAAAGTCTTGAGACGTTTTTGCACTACTGGCTTTTAATACTTAGTTAACGCCACCACGCGTCTCATAAGCAGAAATGAACTGAATTTACATATCCCTCCTTCCCCAAGAGGTTCAGCCCTAGCTTCAGGGGGAGGGTTATATGGAGAGTCGATTTGCCCATTTCAAAACTCAGTGACAGCCAGGAGAGTTTTTTAATGCGTCCACCGAATTATTACGGGTTTTGCCTGCCTCATTGCGCACTCCTAATTAAACTTTTGAGTATACATGTATGCAGCAGGCAGCTGTAGCCTCCATATGTGAGCCTATGGATAGCACTGCTGTAAGCTTGTTTACTTTCCTTTGCCCTAAGATGGACAAAAGCACAATTTGTGGGAAGTGAATGTGTTTACTTTGCTTGTACTGTCAGCTTCTGACTGCTCATTCCTGTGAAACAATTATAAGCATTGTGGTTGCTGGTTGTACAGTGGATACGAAATCACAAGCCTCCTTAAACTAAATCCGCGCTTGTTTACTTGATGTTGTTTCTGTTTTGACAGACATATCCCCTTAGTTCGTTAGTGTGGACTGCAGTAGGTCCACAGGAGGAATTAAGTTAGTGGAAGCAATAAAAATTCTCCTAACTATCACTGAGTTTCGAACCGGGCCAATCGACTCTCCGTTAACCCTCCCCCTGAAGCCAGCTTGGGCTGAACCTCTTGGGGAAGGAGGGGATATGTAAATTCAGTTCATTTCTATGGCATGCATTTGGTACCAAAACACCTGTTGACCAATCGTCTGCACAAGTAAAAATACCACGTGTCCACATGTAAAAAATGCAAGTGTTGACAGATAAAGACGTAATTTCTTTACGTATACAGAAGCAGACTTTTTACGTGTACAGAAGTATTGCCGTCTGAAGACTATGAAGATTTTACACTTGCAAAAGTAAAAAACTGATGTCTATAGGCAGCAAAATTTGACATTTCTTACTTGAGTCCTTCTCAAAAAGCTGAAGTGACAATGTGTCGCCTCTAGATGGTGATATTTTTGGCTAGGAGCAAGTCTTGCGAGCCTACCTGCACACACTGGGAACGTGATAGAACTGTACATGATTGTGGATAATAAGTGGAATCACAGGATTATTATCAAAGGTTCTGCATTTTATATATATATATATGTATATATATATATATATATATATAAAAAAATTTTTTTTATTATTTTATTTTATTTTTTTTTACCAGTTTTCTCTATTTTTGAAGGAGAAAAACACTTTTCTTTTTCATACTCAAAATGGAAATTAAAAGTTGGACTTTTACTTGTAATGGAATTAATTCCTTCTACAGATCAAACTGCATGGTGGTCAATGATAATGCTGAAGTAAAATTCTTTAGCCTTT